CCAAGGGGCAGAAGGGGTGGTACGGGCTGGCCTGGAAGACAAGGGGCAGACAGTGTCTAAACAAGATGTAAGAGTGGAGCAGAAAGTATCAGTAGCACTGTTAGCATCAAAAGATGCTAACAGTTTATGGGAAGGAAGCGAAGATGAAACCATAGCAGATAACCGGGAGGGTGAGAGTGAGCGTAGGTTATGTCGAAAGATGACATGTGGAGATGACATGAAAGATGTCATCATGTCATCAGATGAAAGATGACGTTTTAACTTTAAATTCCCCTGCGCCACGATAGTGTTTTCACAACTTACAGAAAGAGAAAGAGAGAGACTGATAATGTCAATCAGAAGAGAGAACAATGTCAAATTTAATGTCCCATAGACGCTGTATTAGAAACGCCCTCATAAAAAAAAAAATATATATATATATTTAAAAAAACACTTTTATGGTGCTGACGACCATTGAAACGTGGCATCACAGTCTTGTGAAAAGAGTCCATTATGTTTGCTTTTGTGGCTTTCCATGTTTTAATTTTCTCAAGAGCTTTTTAAATGCCTAATAAATTATATTTTACCCCACACGTGTAACCCATGTTAAATGTGGTGCCTAAAGAAAATAAATAATATAATTGTATATTCTAATAGTTACACTTTTAATTAAAAAAGTTAAACAATCTATTAATATGCATTGTGAATTAATTATGTATAAATAAAAATAATTAGTATTATAATTGAGTGCAGAACATGTGATGTATTACACGTACACGAGTTGTGTATGACGTAAGCAGATGACTTTTAATTAAAAAAGTGAAACAATCTATTAATATGCATTGTGAATTAATTAGGTATAAATAAAAATAATTAGTATTATAATTGAGTGCAGAACATGTGATGTATTACATGTACACGAGTTGTGTATGACGTAAGCAGATGACTTACGGAAGTGCAAGAGACGCGCTGAACACGAGATGAGAGCAATACAGAAGGGATTAAAAAAGTTTATATTGTAATAATTCATTTAATATGGTTACAAGCAACTTTATAATACTTTATGGTTGATGATGATAAATCGTTTTAGAATGATGATTGATGATTTAAGCGTGGATGCTAGCCGATTGTGAAGCTCCTTTGAATCTGAAGCGGGTATTTATCAAACTGTGAAACTCGGGATTTGGTGAGTTTATATGTATTTTATTTTCTTTTGAAAGATGTATTTTGTTACTATGCATATCATTATGCATGTTGTAAAGATTGTTTGCATATTTTCTGATTGTTAATATGATTTCTTTTGGAATGTTGAGTGATATATTCTGCTTAGCAATTAATGAATATTAATTTCCATATTCTCAATATGCCTGTAAGATAACACGTTCATTATGAACGTGGATATGGATGTTTAAACACTCAGTTTAAAGAGAAAAATGATATAAAGATAATTTTGAATGTTAATGACACTGTTTTGGTAAAACAGGTCAGGTTTATTGGTTGAGTTGAGAACCTCTCTCATGGATTTGAGATGGCGGGCCACCAAGGGAAAAATTGAATGCTGATTTCTGAACCTGGGAAAAAGACACTTTTGCTGCATCACAAGGATTCCTTAAATTCTTCAACTTTCTTCAATTGGGAGGACATTCTCTTTTGTTCGGGTACTTCTTTGAACTGGTAGGATTTAACTGATTTTGCACTCACCCACTGGATTTCATACAGGACTTTCTGGACGATATTCAAAGACAATTCAGACAAAGAGTTCTAACGAGTATTGTTTATTGAATGATATTGAATGTGAGTCGGATGTAAATTTTGGATTTATTTTTATTTTTATTTGAACATTTTAGTTGTGTCAAGAAGTTCCAATTTGGTTGAATTTTGGGTATATAACATTGTATCTTGTTTAAGGGTTTATTTGGTTTGTCTAAACGGTATAGAAAGTAATAACGCTAAAAGCAAAATAGAATAAGAACCCTAAACTAAAAAAATTAAAGAGACAGTGAAGCTTAAGAGTTGTTCAAAATACAGGTAATTCAAATAAAAGTCTTACTAAAATCTACGTACACAGAGATAGTGTAGATAACTTACATTAAATTGTTTAAGAAAAACATGGAGAGAAAACAAATCTTAAAAGAATAAGAGAAGAAAACCAAAGACAACAGAGAATTCATATTTTGTGTATCATTTTATTTTTATTATTGTTGTTGTTGTTTCAAATTTTTCATGCCATTCAGGTGATTGTTCAATTACAATACATATTTTTTGAGTATCTTCCTCACATGACTTTGTGATTCATTTACTGCCAGTATTAATTCTGTTCTCCACTAACCTAGAAACTGGTCCATTGCTCCAGCTTATGTTGAGGGCACTTGTTACAGAAACGGAAAATGTTAAAGTTGCAAACTCAGTGATAGTTCGTGGGTTAA